TGACGGCTTCATCCTCACTCTAAACATAATCTAAAAAGAATCTGTTTGCAGCTGCATATGGTATATTTCCTATATTTGTTTTCCCTCTAACAGATGTTAGTTGAGATAAAGAGAATGTTTGACGGCTGTAAAGGTGGAGTAGGATTTAATCTTTGCAGACTTTTTACATTAATTCTGTATTTACTTTGTTTCTCCAGACTACGCCAAGGGCTTTGGAGGGAAGTACGGCGTGGAGAAGGAGAAAGTGGACAAAGCAGCACTGGGTTACGACTATAAAGGAGAAACCGAGAAGCATCAGTCGCAGAAAGGTGAATAAGCTCAGAGCTGGCTTCATGTACAAAACAAGTTTTATCTATAATTTCATGTTTCGCGTCCAGATTATGCAAAAGGATTTGGAGGAAAGTACGGCGTAGAGAAGGAGAAGGTGGACAAAGCAGCACTGGGTTACGACTATAAAGGCGAGACGGATAAACATCAGTCTCAAAAAGGTGAAGGAAAAAGTTTCACAAAGTCTTTTTCTTTAAAAAAAATCTTTTACCCCGTTAGACTAAAGGAACATCCTTCTGTTTAGATTACTCCGCAGGTTTTGGCGGTCGCTATGGAGTACAGACAGATCGAATGGATAAGGTTGGTGAGATTTAATCTGTTCATCTAAGGTAAAAAAAGATAGAAGATTAAAAAATAAACAGAAAGCTGTTCTTTTTTACTCGGCTAGATAAAACGATGATGTCATGGCATTGCATACTTCTGATTGGTTAACTCAAATGAAGCCTCTCCTGTTGGTGGATTTTTAATCCAACACTTTAAAAATGCCGCCTTGCTTTTTAAACCCGCAAAGATAATCTCCAAAAAAAGCTGGTTTTACTGCTTCTAGATGCATCCAAATCCCGTATCATAATGCTGCCACCACCATGCCAGACAGATATTTATGGTCTTTGAATAAATTAAATTATTTAATCTTAATTCAAAACAAATGTTAGAACTTTACTTTAGAAAATAAAGCTTAGATATGTTGATTTGAGTGAAATATTTCTCATGATTTTAATGAATATAAGCTACAAATCATGAAAAATAAAATATTTAAGACCAAATTCTTTAAAAAATGTCTTCTTTTTAAAATTATGATCCTTTTAGAGCGCAGCTGGTTTCTCAGACATGGACTCCCCAACATCTGCCTATGAAAAGACTCAACCATTGGAGGCCTGTAGGTTCACCCATCCTGCTTGTTTTATAAAAGCAGAGCAGTTTTTATAGATGTTCTATTTAATTAAATGTCTTATTTCTGAAGCGAGCGCGGGCGCCGGGAAACTGAAAGCTCGCTTTGAGAGCATGGCCAAGGCTTCCGATGAGGAAAACCGTAAGAAAGTAGAAGAGGAGAGAGCGAGAAGACAAGCCAGAGAGAGCAGAGAACGAGAGGAAGCCAAACGCAGACAGCAGGTTTGATGAGGATCTGCATCCGGCTGAGATGAGCTCTCAGAATGAAAGTCAGGGATTTAATTTCCTTGGTTTGTTCCTTTAAGGAGGAGGAGAGTAGAAAGGAGGAATTCCATCCTCCACCTGCTCAGGAGGAACCAGAGTACGACATGCCTTCTGCAGAAACCCACCAGAACTTGCCGGAGATTGAAGAAATACCAGAACCAGAGGTGAGCTTCACTTTTACCAAGTTTCACTTATGAGACGGTTGAAGGACTAACTTCTGCTTGTGAATCCAGCCGGAAGAATTGTTCGAGGCGCCTCCTGAATTGCCTCCACGCTCAGACGATCTCTACGAGCCGGAGGAGCCCCCTCTACCGCCGCGGCCTGCGTGTGTGGAGGAAGAGGAGGACGGCGGGGAGTACTCTGAGCTTGCCGAACCGCCGCTTCCTGAGCCAACAGGTCTGCCTCTGATCAAAGCTCTGCTGGAAGTTCTCCTCGATCATAAAGGTCATTTTTATCATGAAAACATCATTTCTGCTCACAGAAGCCAGTGGAGTCTACGAGGACATAACGGCCGGCCAGAGGGCAGTTGCAATTTATGATTATGAAGGAGGTAAATTCCCCTCGATTCCCTTTACTTCACATCCCTGAGCCAAAAAAGTATTGTAGGCAGGATCTCATCTAATTTAAGTATTTTACAAACATAAAGATGTGAACTGTGGGAATTTAGCTGCATGTTAGCCACTTTTCATATTCAGCCTCCCTTCATCACTTAAAGTGGTCGGTTTTCTGCCCCGATCCAGAAAGGTTCTCGTATTTGAAGATTAAATCCTTTAGAGAAGGAAGAACTTCAGCCAAACCAGAAGCAGTTTGGATGTTTTTTTGGAAACGTTCTGTTGGAACTCCCAGAAATGTCTGCCTTGCTGGTCAGGACTGAGAATTCCTGCTATTTCATCTTCGGTGTTTAAACAGCCCCACAGCATGATGCTACCCTCACCATGCTTTATAGTAATGCTGCCATCTTGAAACATACCAGGTCATTCCTGGACTTCCAGCTCGGTTTTTTCATCAGTCTAGTGCAGTGGTTTCCAAAGCGCCGTCTGAGGGCCATTTGCAGCATCAGGATGATTTTGTGTGGCCCTCAACTGCATTTCAAGAGTAGTATATTTTTGCTTTCTTTCCCAAACTTGACATATAAGAGAGAATTCTAGTATGATTTATTAAATTAGGCTGCATAAAACAATAGATTCTTTAATGAAAATATACTCAGAAAAATCCCAACCAATGCAGTTTACCTGAAAATTTCACATGGTGCTTTTATTTTTTTAACCAGGAAAACCTGAGACCTTCTTTCTACAATGACGTTCAGATCATTTCTACAGAAATTGCTTGTTTCAGTGACGGCTCAGTTTACATTATTGTTTAGCAGATACAAATGAAAACAATTTGCAACGTCAACCGAAATTAAATCTATTTTTTTTTGGCCCCCAAAGTAGTTTTACTTCATGTTTACACATGGCAAACTGTTTGCCAACTTCTGAAACGAGTTCCAAAGGAGAGAGACATCTGAACATCTGCAGATTTTAGACTATAAAGTTGTTTAGAAATGCGTCCATATTGCTTTTCCAGGGAGATCCTTCTTGTTGTCCTACTACTACTAATAAAATGACTTTTAGAATAAATAAGCCAATGCCCGATGTTCAATCTTTTCACACAGAGGCGGACGACGAGATCTCCTTCAATCCAGATGATGTCATCACCAACATAGAGATGATCGATGAGGGCTGGTGGAAGGGCCACTGCCACGGACGCACCGGCCTGTTCCCCGCTGCTTACGTCCAGCTCATTTAGACAGTTTTGCACACGCTTCCCTTTAGAAATCCAAATTTTATTCAACTGTAACTTCTGCAGATTTCTATTTATACAACAAAGCATTTTTCCCCAATCTATCCAAAACTTTGTGCTTTTTACTGAATCTGAAGGGAGAAAAACTTGAATTAAAGACAATAAAGCATTTCTTGAATTATTTATTTGACACACTTTTGCTTTTTAGACAAAATATCAAACTTTAAGACATTTTCTATACTTAAAGGGTCCAAATGAACCATTTCTATTCATGTAATTTTATTTGAACAGAAAAGGCCACAGGTGAGTCTGTTGACAGGAGCTGATGTCCCAGGAGAACAAAATAGATCAGGCTGTTCTGAGCCTTCATGATGAGTCTGCCAGGGCAGAAAGTTTAGATCCACAGTCTTAGGAAGAAAAAAAAAAACACCTCGGTTTGCTTTACCAGGCGATTCCCTTCTTCTTCTTGACCTTGCCCGTTTTCTTAGTCACCCGTTTAGCTTTCATTTTTTTGGCCTGTCGTTGGTTCATCCACGTGGGGTACTGTCCATTCTCGTCCAGGAGAGTTTTCTTGTTGCGCTTCTTGTCCATGTCCATCTTCCCGCCTGGAGGAAACAAAAGTCAATAGGTATTATACAACTATCCTTAAAAAGAACCAATCAAATAAACTAAACCACTTTATAACGAGTGTCTGAAGGGGGAAGAGATGGAGCTGGACTTATATTTTGGGTCCCTAGTTTTGTGCATCTCCTTTTTAAAGTTAGTAAAATAAAAAATAAACTGAAGTTTGTAGACTATTCTCTGAATTGGCTTCATCTCCAACATGCAAAAGATCACGATCTCTGGCTGTCCAGGTATCCAATGTGTTTTATCTGAACCTTAAATTCAAAGTATCACCCCCACTCACCATCCTCCTCCTCCTGTTCTGCCATTTCAACGTCCGTCTGCTTCGTTATCTTGTCGGCCGGCACTACCGTGGCGATGTCCTGCAGGTCGCTCATATCCGCCTCTCCTTTCTTATCCAAACTCAGAGCCTGTTTGAGTCGAGCCAGCTCCTTGGGGGCATTTTTCTTCCTCTTCTCAGCCCGCATTTTTCGCTTCCATTTGCTCCGAAGACTTTTGGCCATTTTTAAAGACGAGCTGAAAAGCCACACACAAAAAAAGAATTAGTAACACATTCAACTGTTGTGATCGTATCTGTTGCAATAGTGAATTATTTCCTGACTTTTTTCCATCTGTTTTAATTGTTCACTGGTTTGATTTCTATTTTTATTTTTTTAGGAAAAATTGAGTGCTCCAGCTTACAAATTAAAGGAAAAAACAGTCAATGAATGCATGATCAAAATTATTTCGGTTTGCTTCTCAAAACACTTTAAATCTACTAGATTACAAATAGTGAAAAGGGGGGAAAAAATGGGGAATAAATAATTACAAGCCTATTGCAAGGGAAGTGCTGCAAAAGCATTTCAATTCAAGGTTATTTCCATCTTAGCATGTAGAGCACACTTGGCAAGCTATGTTTTTTAATACACTGAAATTAAAATGTTTTTTATATCAATATTGTTTTTGGATTTTAGAGCAGAGCAACTGATCAAATATGTTGCTACACTGATTTCCAGAACAACTGATCTATAATTGCAACAACATTGATAACATAAGATATTATAAATATGACACGTTGCTCAATGTTAGTTTACCTTTCACCAATTTACACAAAAACATAAAATAAAGCAAACTTCCCTGTTTCAAAAAGCACAATTTATTCATTGTGTGCTGCTTGTATGGAAAGATGAATTACCTCTTTAACAATAAAGAAATCTACAAGGTATCAAAGGTAAATAAAAGTGTCTGAACCTAGCCTAGCTAGCTAACTGCTAATGTAACGTTAGCTAAGGGGCTAATTAATAAAAATGAGATAAATTCAGCCTCACAGCTTCACTAAATAACTCTGGAAAGTTATGCGTCAGTAGGAGAGATAAATAAAAGCCATACTTACAGCTAGAAGAGTAATTAAAGCCCAAATGTTAGCCCTGAAACGGACACGCTGCTCCGTTCACGTGCGGACACCGCGGAAAGAAGCTCGAACCGGATTGGTTGTGCGAGACCGGCTGAAGACGGCGGCTCTCGATTGGCCTAAATCCCGGAAGTTCCGTTCATTTGCGTGAGTAAACAAACGGAAGCGAATGCTGAGCGTAATTCCTCTCATATTTACATGTGGAGCCGTGAGTTTCGGTTCAATCACATGAAAGTAAATTATTATCGATATTCTGTTCTTGTTATACGTTAGTTGTGGAGATATGAACCGCCTCTCTGACAGCCAGGCTCGGTCGGGTCGCAGCCCTCCTCCTCTGTCTGGTTCATCGCAGCTCTGTCAGACGTTGGACTCCGCTGCAGAGCTCATGATGGTCCATGGAGATTTCCAGGCGGCTTTTGACACCTGCGACGCGGGTCTGGAGAGTATGGGGCAGCTGGAAGCAGAAGATAACAGGTAGGGAGGACTCAGGGGCGGAGCTAGATGGGGGGCCAGGGGTTGCCATGGCCACCCTCAGCCAATCATTGGCCACCCCTACCATTTATTTCCCTCTAATACAGATTGTGGCAGCAGTAATACTCTGAAGGGGAATATTCAAAAATTTTTATTTTTTTGCGGTTAATTATACACATCAATATACTAATATCAAAGATGATATATACAGAATTCCTGCTCTTTTCAGAAATAGACTTTGTGTTATATGGGGTAAAGAGAAAATGATGTGTCTCTGCAAGTCATCTTGTGGTCTTCAGTGAAATCAAAGATAAATAACAATTTTAATTAAAGAATGATCAAATAATAAATTTATGTAGATATTAGTGCTTTTAAATATCAATTTTATGCAGAATTTTTATTGATACAAGTAGGTAAGTATTGACAATGATGATTAATTTACGCCCCAGAATTCAAAACTGAGTTTTATTCACTATACCTTTTATCTAGAAATTACAGATTTTGAAATATATGCATCTATTTGTTAGCAAAGGCTGTAGGAAAGTATAGTTTGTCTTTATTTAGAAAATATGGATGTTTTGCCTGTTCATTTTTCCTGTTGGAACAGAGTAGATTGACCCTGAGGTTCTGGTGCCAATCCGCTTTCGGCCCCCCTCAGTCTAAAGTGGTTATTGCCTGGCCACCCTTATAAAAACTCCCTGGCTACGCCTCTGGGTGGTCATTTCCCAGCTGTTCCAGGATTAGATTAGATTAGATCTTCTTTAATTACTATGCCAATATGTGACCAGTGAATTTCTCCGCTGTGAGATCAATAAAGCTCATCTAATCTAATCTAATCTAATCTAATCTAGCTGTTTCAGGATGCCTGACGATCAGTTTTAAATATTGTTTGTTTTATTTGCAGGTGTGCAGAGTTAAAGGCTGGATTCTGCATGATAGGGATCCAGGCGCTGGCTGAGCTCAATCGGTGGCGGGAGGTTTTCTCCTGGGTCATGCAGCATTATGAGCACCAGGAACATGTTCCTGCTAAGATCATGCAGTTGTGGTGAGAAACCATTTGGTTGTGAACAGTGAACAGGAAGGAAATGTTTAATATTTCATTTCATTTTTTGATAAAGTCGTAGTGCATGTTATTCTTTACAAAATTTTTATTCTGAGAGATTCTCCTGCTTAAAGTGAAGCAAAATGTATTTTATTGTAACTTAAAATGTAAAAAAACTAAAAGGAAATCTGTTTAAAGAAATGTCAAAACCTTGGTCAACACCATCAATATGTTTATTATTTTGGTTTTATGCAAATGCTACCCATCCATGTCTGTTTTTAGGAGATACCATGTTTAAATCTGTTGCAATACCTCCCATAAATCCACAGGTAGTGATGGATTGATGAAGCACCTTTAAGCTTTTGGACACTTTGCCAAACTGTATAGATACTGTCTGATAGAATACTGACCCCTGCTGGACATTTAAAGACACTGCAGAAAGCTTATTTGACAGACTGAATATGATTTAATTTATGGTAGGTTATATTGTATTATTTTATATCTATGTTTAAATTGAAGATATATTTGATATTTTTTAGTTGCAGCCAATAAATTATGTAAACAAATATAATAACGTAAAAATTTATGGGGAAAATGTGAATGAGGATGCTTGTGGACTAGGATTTTAAATCATATTTTAAAAGCAATACGTTCAATCTGAAATTAACTTTAATTCGGATAAGTTGAGTGATAAATAAGAGGAAAAAGACGACGCAACGAGAAAATTAAAATAGAAACGCAACGGCTGAAACGTTCCTATTCCTTTTAGGCTCCAAAATTCTTGATAATTTTAATGATAATCCACAAAAGATGAAACATTTTTTCTTTAGCAGATGCATCATGTTGACAGATGTTTTTAAACCCAGTTTAGTGAGTCAGTCAGTTAGAAACAACTCCTGCATCGGTCACATGACTTTCTTTAAACGACATTATACAGTGTTTAGCTCTATGGGCTTGAGGCATCGGTGTTGCTGGACACATCACTACTGACAGGTTTTACAAATGGGATAAAAAAGTGAGAAATTAGGTGAAAATGAGATTTCAAATACATTCAGAGTGAATAAAGGAGATGAAGTGGGGGGAAAAAAGCTACAGCTTTTCTAAAATAAGATGCTTCCCTTATTTATTTGTAATAACCAAATTGTTTTTTTGTTTTTCTTTTACCAGCATCCTTCTTCACTCAAAAGTGGGGGCGCCTGCTGTGATGCAAGAGGCCTCCCGGGTTTGGTTAAACTGCCCGTCAAACGTCGGAGCTTCTGGGTTCCGGTCTGTGGCAGAGCTCTATCTGCTGCATGTGCTCGTGCCTCTCGGACACTTGGAGGAAGCGCGGGAGCTCGTCGCCAGCGAGGTTGGCTGTGTCGCGTTCACAGAGGAGCAGAGACAAACTGCTTTGGATGTTGTGGAGGAAAAAGCCAGACAGAGTCAAGAAGATCCTAAAAATCCTGGAGATGCTTCAGATGCTGAGATCGCAGCACATCCGACCTCAAATCAAGGTGTTTTGAAATTTCCACCTTTTATGCATCATAAAAACTTAAATTAAAAGAAATAACAGCAAGTGATCCTACTGAGTGTGTTATTTTTTTATTTTTAGGTTCTTTACTCCATAAACTTGAAGCCATGGTCAGGGTTTTATACAGAAGTTGCTCGAGGATCGGCTCATACTCTTTCCCCGTTCAGAAAGTCGTTCTTGCAGTTCTTCTCCTCTACATGCTTTTGTTCCGAATGGATCCAGGTTGGAGGAAAAATTCCTTCTCTGCAAGTTTTAATGAAATGTGTTTGATTGAAAATAAATCATTTCCTGCTTTTGTTCCTTCTCCACAGCCCTCCCATCATCCTTCATGTGGATTTCCAAACTTCTTCAGCTGATTAAACAGATGTGGAGCGCCATGTTAGCACCACATTATCAGCCTCTCACGTAGAGGAGCAAAATAAATCACACCATCATTACATATTTATTGAACAGTTTATTAATCTATTTTACTACATTGATTGAAGAAGACAGGTTTTTAGAGTATTAATTCAGTTTTTGCTTTCAAGTTTATTTCTATAAATAAAACACTTATTGCTGCTGAATTTTACAGTGAAGTTTGGTTGGGTTTCTGTGCGGTGAAAAGATGCGATGAGCCTCGGCTGCTTCAGGGATGATATGGATTGGTCTAATCGGTGAAATCCTGAATTCTACTCTTCCAAAAACCACACTGGGCTTCTATAGAGCCGTACGATGACCCAAAGCACATCCTTAAATGATCTGGTTAAGAGTGTAGACCAAATTGAGGTATATCAAACTCTTTAATGTGGCTGAAGGTAGGTTTTGCTTGCTGTTTTTCCTTAAAATATTAAATCAAGAATGTCCAAACTGCGCCCTGGGGCTCTTTGAATTGTTCTACATCTAGACCAAAAAAGAAATTAGGTTGAAAGTTTTGATTTGGAATTTTAACTATTTGAGAAAAAAAACTTGCATACATGTTCAATTGTTAACAATATTGTTTTTTTTTTTCAAGTAGTTTGCATGTAAATAAGTATATTTGCATGCGTCCCTCTAAAGCAGGAGCATTTAAAGAAAGGGGCCCAGATCAGTGCATGTAGTTGGTTTAATTTGCCAATAGGAACCGCAAAGACCTAAGACTTAAATTCAGCACAAAACGCAGATAAGTTTGGCCACAGCATCGCCAGGTAGGCAGGTCCCTGGGAAGCAAACAAAGTAAGAATGGAGAATATCAGAATTATACAGAATAGGATTAGGGCCGCTGAAAAAAAAAATTTAACTGCTTTGTAAATATTTTAGTTTAATATGGGGGAAAAAGTCTGAATTGTGACAGCGAACAAACATGGTAGCATCAAGCCGTAGCCATGTCTGTTTTAGGGACTAAACTAGCTCTCTTGTTTTAATCACCCTCTGCTTTTCCATTTATGAAATAGCATCACTGGGGAACCCTGAGGCACGTAAGAAGTCACCTAATTCCTTCATTTTCCCAAACAACTCACATCTATGTCAGGGAAGCT